AATTGAACAAATTCTTGGAACGAGAATGTTCTATAAAAGAAGTACTAATTTATGCTTAACATAAAAATACAAAATCCTTTATAATATACAATATTTTTTAATATTTATCAAAAATTTTCAATTTTATGAAGAAAAGAAATATGTTTTCAGTTCGTATTTAATGATTTATGACTTAAGGCTTTAATGAAAAAATTTTATTCTTTCTTTTTAATTTATTTTTATATGTAAAATCATTTCCCATTTGGTTATTCACGATTTGCGAAATATCTTGTAAGTTCTAAACTTTATTATAAACTTTATTTTCCTTTTTTCAATATACATAATATTCCAAAAATTACTTAACGACACAAAAATTTAATAAAAAATATCATAGATATTTTAATTTCAGATGTAAAGGGTTAAAAATAATTTCAAAGAAAATATTTATTATTTTTTAAAATTCATAAAAGAGAACAAAATTAATTACCTATTTATTATAATAATAAATGTAAATAAATAATGTAATTATGTATTTTTTACATGTACTAACATAATAATTGATGCGATATTGATTAATTATTAAGTCTTATGATTTTTATAATTTTAAATTTGAGTCATTTCAGTAACCGATATTTTATATATATATATACATTATATATATATATATATATATATATATATATACATGTATATATATGTGTATATATATATACATATACATATATAATATATAATATGTGTGTGTGTATTTTTTAATATACTAATGAAACTTATTGTTAGATCATTACTATATTTCAATAAAAATTTATTATTAGCTACAGTAATAAAAGATTGTATTTTATAAAATATTCTTGCTATTCTTTTTCTTTTACTTTACAACCTATTATATTCAACAGAGTATACTGTATAGCAGTCTAACGAGGAACAAAACGTACATCTTTTTCTTCCTTTTTTTCGATATTTCCGTTTCCTTTCCTCTTCATTTAACATCGAGGAACGTGCATAATATAGGAGAGATAATTATTATGTTCTCGACGTTCCGAACATTAGCAATTTCTTGTTCCGCCCTTATCTCTTACTGCTCCTAAAACATGTCTATTATTTATACTAACTAAACATTGAAGACGGCTCATTATAACGTCTCTTGCTATAGTTGTGTCTATAAAACGATCTTTCAAAAGCTTTAATTTATAAAAGTTCAATATACTTTGACATAATTCTTTAGTTTTATTACATTTTATTACGAAAGATAATACCTTTATTTTACTTTACGTTACCTACTATTCTTTTTATAAAATTCTTTTTCCTTCCCTTTTCACAAAAATGAAACATATCATATTCTTTGATTCACAATAATGAATTATTAAAAATATAACTATATTATAAGATAAAAAAAATTATACGATAAGAAAGAGTTATTAGTTTTAAAATGTAGTTTTAATTATTAAAATGTACAGTAACTATACAGTACTATAAACATACTGTAAGAAATTATTCGATAATATACTTGCCTGAAATTCCTTTAATTATTTTCAAATAATATTTCTAGATAATTCGAAAGCGAAATGATTTTAAGTAATTTTATTCATATATGTGATTTAACGCTTGTAAATTGAAGTAACCATTTATATTATTAGTATATATATTTTATTTTAAAAAATTGAAGTTATTAAATAATTGAGAAAAAAATTTTCTTCTTCATAAAAAATCATCTTCTTCATAAAAAATGTATGTGATTTAATTTCTGAAAATTTTCAATAGATAAACTGAAGAAATGTATTTAAAACAATTTTATATATTTATATTTTATTAAAACAATGAAACTTATAAATAATGGAAGATTTTTGAACATGAAATTTGATAAGTTTACATACATAATATCAATAAAATTATGAAATGAAATTCGTAATGAAGCATCGTGTTGAAAATGTAAATACACGAAATGTAAACTTTTTAATAAAAAGTATTAAAATACAATATGAAATATTCGAAATATTCCTTTTGTTCCAGCATTTGACTCTAAAAATCATTATATGGTACATCAATGATTTATCTTAATATACATTTTACAATATGCACAATGCTATATTAAAAAATATATAGCATTTTATTTAAAAAATTAAAGGCTACTTCCTACTTTTAATTAAAAGCCATATTTTATAAGAGGTAGTGTTATTTTTTCTTTTTTACTTCATAATATTCATCATTTATGAAAAAAATACTGATTAATAAATCGGTGAACATCACTTATAATTGTAGTCCATTTTGTTTTAATTTTTAATAATTTAAATGAAATATTCTACTATTAATTTTATAAATTGGTTTAAATTATTTATTTAAATTGTATTCTTGAGGAAATGTACTATTCAATTAACATAGAAAAAGAATTAATTAATATCATTAATCACAAACACATTAGTTTTTTTCCATCTTTAGTGGGAACAGAGTTATAATTCAGTAACTATTATATTTGTATGTATTTAGCATATCTATATATGTATAGAATTATCCTCTATTTAGCATTTCTATACATATATAAAATTATCCAGTATTTAGCATTTTTATACATGTATATACAAATTTTGTTTATACTTAATTTTTTACTAATATTGTCATTAAATTTGATTTTTTGCTATAATGACATTTTGTTACGAAGATCAATTTGTTAAAGATATATTTTTAGAAAATAATATTTCTGTTGACTGGTACCTTTGACTGTTTATCATTAATAGTCAATTTGCTCATTAATTTGTTTGAAATAAATATGATTTTCTGAAAGCATTTTCAATAAATTGACATCTTGGCAGAAAGTGATGTCTTATATAAAATTATTGTTATTTGTTCGTTTTATTTTTATTACTTTGTATAAACTTTAGACTAGAAATCCTGTCTAAATTGTGACGCTGAATCATCTTGATATTCCACCGAATTTTCTTCGCTTTATTGTCTGCTCAATTAAATGCAGAGCGCAAAGACTAAAGACTCATCGTTAAGGCACGCGAGAAATTGTCGAATTTATTCGAACAATTTCTCATATTCTAAATTCTAAGATCTATGTCTATATTACTCTAAATATTTAATGATTAAAAATAGTCAAATAGTCTTTAATATTTATGAAAAATTATAATTATTACAAACAAAATATAATTAACTACATATTATATAATTAACTATAAATTACCTGCGATATTAATAAAGTTAGATTAACAATTTTCAGTTACTAAACATTTTATTTGAATGTCAATTACAAAAGCAGTCAAAAAGCAGTCATATTATTCTTCATAGAGAAAGGCTACTACGTTATTACGACAACTATGAAAAATCATAAAATCTATTTTATATGATATTTAAAAAAATCGTTTAAGGTTTTAAATATTTATAAATAATATTTATTCATCAGAAACAATAAAAAATATCTATTTAATCAACATTTTCGTTTTAATGGAAAATATCATTTTAATTTACTTATCTAATGTGCGAAAAATGTATGTATGTATTTTTTTGAATATGAAACAAGACAATTTAAATACATTAATTCATAATTTATAAAAATTATATTTAAATATCAAATAGATTTAATGACATTAAATAACAGACATTAAATTGTTATGCAAGAGAAAATGAAGTTTCTTACTCTGATGATTCTCTTATTAATATTAGTGCTAATTTTTTTTATTTTCATGACCATAGTAATTCATGATTTAACATGATAATCATGATTTTGATAAATTATACCTTCACACAATTAATCAACTCCACTACTTATATTTAACTAAGAAATATTATTTTTAAATGCAAAATTGCATTTATAATAACATGCATATCAAATAAATTAAATATAGTATTATTAAATATAGTATTATTAAAATATAGTTAAACATTTTTTAATATTAAGTTTCCGATCTTGATTTCCTAACACACAATATGAAATGGAATAATTAAAATTCATACTTTCATTATAGGATTAACAGCATTTCTAGAAAACCCTATATTCAAATGCAAATGAATTCAATGAATAATATTAACATTAAAAATATAGTAAAAGAAAATGGAACATACTGTAGATGACTTCTACATTGATTTTTTAATTTCCAAATCTTTAAGATTTTATAACATGACAAGTATCTAATATATTTGTATCTAATATATTTGAAGAAAATAGATATTTATTTATATAACCTATATTATTTTCCTGATAATGTATAGTACTTTTTTAAGGTACTCAAAGATACATTAATTTTAAATAGATAAATCTTTAAGTTCCTTCATATGTACATATGTATCTAAATAGATAAAACTTTAAGTATCTTCAACATATATCATATTCATTTTTAATTTCTTCGCATAGATGAAATTTGCCATGCCTGATATTGTTTATGATACGCGTTGGTCGAGATATTCCACACTACGTGTCGTGCGAAATGCTCGACATATAACGCTTAGATATTTTGAGTGTTTTTTCATTAGAAAAAAACACTCGCGATATTTTTTCGAATTATTTAGTTAAAAATGAATTCTTGCGACACCGTATTTATGAATATGAAAAGGGTTAGCATTATTCTTTTCTGTACATGAAACAATTCAAGGCATTGTATTGCGTTCAAAGTTTTATATGAATAATATTGCATCGTGAACTATCTTGTCAAAAATCAAATTATGAACAACGTGTGTCAAGATACTTTGTTTCTAAATGCATTATAGTTATTATAAGTATGTATATCCATACGTAGTCAATGAACATGAGTTGACGTCTTTCTAAAATTATAATTATTGTATATTCTCTAATATGACAGCGTTAGCCGTAAAAACTTTTATTTCATATATATTTTTTTCATTATAATTTCAAAATCTATATTTCAATCGCTTCTATGATTAGATTTTGCGCATTATTTCGAAATATATTCTATTTGTTATTCTGAAATTGAACTTGTATAAAGAATAAAAATGACAAGTGAAACATTTCCTTTTTCTTAATAAGGGACAAGTGGTGAGAATATATTTTTTTGACATTTGTTGAACAGTACCACCGGATATCGTTTATGGAGGTGACACCAGCGCCGACTTGGCAGTTTCGGAAGGTGACAATGCAACTCTAAGTTGTCGTGCAACGGGAAGACCAACCCCAAGAGTGTCCTGGCGAAGGGAAGACGGAGAACCCATTCTCATAAGGGCCTCTTCCGCTGGTACATAATGACACTATAAAACTCGTGGGTATCTCCGCGGACAGACCTCTTTCACTTACCGCTTCGTGAAAAAAAAAGGCAGAGACGACGAAGGTTTAATTTCGTTTGCCACCCATTATTTCTATTGTTCGCGTTTCTGTTTCTTGCCCATTTTCATTTTCTTTCTCTACTCAAACTGAACTTTATTACAATGCCTGTGATCGATAATCGCTGTTATATTGCTTTATGTCACTAAAATCAATAACGAAATGCGCAACGCGTAACATTTGAACATCCCGTTTTTATGGCTTTAAATGTCCGTTTTATTGCATTGCATTACACTTTCAATCATGTACGTATATATCCAGTACCTCATATATTTAATATCGCAACTAGTGATACCGCATTCGATGTTTTCCTCTTCTTTCTTTTTTTAGTTTCTTATTTTTTCAAGCTTCGTTTATATAACGTGACACTTTTTCGTATTTTCATTATTGGAATGTGGCACATTTAACTTTCAAACAATACTGTTTGATTATAGATGACTCTAGTAATTTATGTATGTTAAATTACTGAAATTTTTTTGGTATTTGATTTGATTTGTATTTTATATCTTTCATGATAGAGATTTTTAAAATTACAAATTCTGAGACTAAGTGATTTAGTAATTTAAATTTGGTTTAATGAAATTCCTTTTGTGTTTTATATTAATATATTAATATGTTCAAATTGTTGAGAAGTATTCAACAACAATTTGACGAATATAAACACCAGACATTCCTATGCATTCTTTTAATTGAACGTATTTTCTCTTCTTTCTTTTTCGAATGCTAGTTATACGAGTACACATTTACAATTTTTCTGCATTTATATTCGTAAGTGATGATATTATGGAAACATTTCTATTTGTTTCCTTTAACATCGATCGTACCGCAAGCAGAAACTTCAAATGTAAAAGAAATTGAAATTATATTTATTTTAAGTTTGTTTTTTTCTTTTGTGAAATATTGCTTTTTGAATCAGATTTGTTTAATTGAATTTTGTCGTATTTAACTTTATAGTCAAATTTTTACTTTACTTCACTTCATTTTGATACTTTATTTTGATAAAACTTTTATCAGAAGTAATTAAAACTTCCACTACAAGTATCAAATATTAATTAATAAAAATCTGTTACTTATAATATTATTAATAAATGTTAAATAGAAAATCACAAAAGAAAAATTATCGTAACTAAATTAATATTTGTAGCTTAATATATTTTTTAAAAACACCCAATATAAAAAAATGAATATAAGGATTTATGAATATAAGGAAATTAAAAAATGAAATTTTTAACATTTAATGTTTAATATTTGTGATATTTAGATTCGTGGAATTATAGTATATGATTTTGGAAACTATTAACGTCATATATCCACTATTCATATAATACCATACTACTGACTTATACGATAATACGTGTATAATTTAAATTAATGTATAATTCAAATACATAGGCTGTTCAGTCGCAAATATATACCAAAGGATATTCACTATTCAGCACCATGTGACTTTACATTAGTTTCACGTTAATAGGGTAATTAGGCGACACTAATATCCAAATTACGTCGAAGACCTCTTACGGAAAGGAGGACTTACTAGAATAATATGATTTTATATGCGTACCTAGTTGCATCTAAGACTATGATTATATACATATTAATATACATATAAATAGCTTACTTTCACAAGAAGTTCCAAAATGTTTCATAGTACTTATCTAAATAAATTAACGAGCTTATGAACTTAACAGTATTATAATCATTTTGCAACCGATTAATTAATATATTTTACTTTATACACATAAGTTATATGTATAACAATAAAATCAGTTCAAAGAGATAAAATGTAACAAGCCGTTACATTCATATTTATATTTATTCCACTTGGAATATAAGAGTATATAGGAGTATATTTATTACAAATGGAATAGAGAGTATTCCAACTCTCTTTACCTGGTAACTTTGTTATTTTGAATACTGATCAATCGTATTTTTTTCCAATAAAATTCTTTTATAAAATAATTAAAGTATAAAAATAATAAAATGTCACTTCTCTGAAATTTTCAGCTTTATTCATTTTACTACAAAACTTATTAAAAAATTCTTCTACATTTATACATAGAAGATTTCAACGATTTCCACATTAACGGAAATACAAAAAACAATATCTAAAGAATTTGTTTAGATACAGCAAATAAATGCTGTTTTTTTTATCTAGTTACTGACGAAGTTATAAAATTAGATTAAAAATTTACAATTATTTTGTTTTACAGACATAATTTTTACAAATTTTGTGTGTTTATTCTATATAATAAATGTATATGTAATATTTTATATAAAAGATATAGTATATGTATATAAAAGAAATAATTATGTGCATTACATCAGTAACAACATATACAGTGCAACGCAAAGTCAATTAAACTCAAAATAGAGCCTGGAAGGTTTTCATTCTTTTCTTCACTTATGATTTTAAATAATTCTGTCTTATTTGAATATTTGAACTTGTTTCCAGAAGTTTGCAGAATTTTCGCTTTCCTCTCAAATCAGATTGAGCTGGTCAGTTTGAAACTTTTTAAATTGTTAAAATTTGTAGCAGATAATTTGCGTTTAATCATCCTATAATAGAATTGTGTTTCGAATCGTTATTCTAGCAAAACAGCACGTTTTTATTTTTCAAACATGTGAAATAACATGTACAAACAAGTAGAGAAAATGATTTCTCACAGAAAAAGTAAAAAAACAAAAAATATAGAATAAAGTGTTTTGATTTAAGTCTTCATTTCGAAGAAAATCGAGTTTGAAGATTTATCAAGCATACCTGAATTAACTATTTCTAGACGTGACAAAATAATTGTAGAATAAAATAAAATGTAGGACAAAATTTTTTATTTTCAAGAAAATAAACTTTGAGTGTGTTTCGTTACAAATTACTTCGGTACACATCTACTTAAATTTTCACGCTTGATTTTCTCGAAAACGAGCATTTTATACAAAAATTTTATTCCACATTTCTTATTTACTTTTATTTTTATTATTATGTAAATCAATCTCTTGTTAATTATTTTATTCTATCATATCTAGAATTAATTAACTTCAAGTCTATTTAATAAATCTTCAAACTCAATTTTTTCGAAAATGAAACTTCAAATTAAAAAAATTTTATTCCATATTTTTTCCTTATTTATTTATATTTATTATATATCTATTATATCTATTATAAACCATCCCCTGTGCATGTTATTTCAACGCTCCAATTTCATATTTTCTTAACTCAATTGAAAAATTTAAACAGAAATTTATTTCTGATACTAAAAATTACATTAACAAATATTTTTATATATTTTATATATTTTTTTTATATATTTTATGTATTTTTTTGATTCTCTGCTTTTTTATATCTTCAAATTTTTTATAATAAATTTTCAAATAATAGTGTCTAGTAATAAATTATTGCAATAAATTTATATATAAAATAATCCCACCTATTGAACTATCACAATCAATTTTTTTTTATTTCCACAATTGAATCAGTGCCGTGAGTAGCAAAAATCCCTTGCCATAAGATTTGTTTAAAAGTATTTATAGTGTTTGATATCACTTTTTATATCAAATGTGTATTCTTTCTTATCACTTCCGAATTAATTAGCTTTTCATTGGAGAAATTCTCTAAGGTTATATAATATTTCTGTGAATGATTTTCTCTCTTGGCGAAATCAATTTAATTAATACATTATGGATATTATAAACGATTTAGATATTTTAGGCAAAAATTTATTACTATAAAATGTAATAAGAAATAATTTAATATTTCGATACAATCACAATTCAAAATATAATTCCAAAATAATTAAACGATTTTTTTAAAAATATACACTCTCACTCAAAAGTCTTAGGATCTATTTTTATTATTTAAATTACATGTATATTTTATAATATAAGTATTAATAAAATTCTTTGTTCTATGAAATATTATTTAATTTTTCTAGATTTCAAGCGAATACAGAATAGTCTTAAGACTATTAACAGGAATGAATATATTGATAAATTTTCGATCTTTGAATATTAATAAATTTCACATTTAATGCTTATAAGGTAATATAAAATTTTTATTCGGAGAAAGTATTTAGTTATTTACAAAGAGTAAAGTAATAGAAGTTTTAGCAATATTATGAGAATATGAAATGTTATATCTTTTACAAAATTAAACATTATATTTCATTTAATAAAAAAAAGTTAATCTTCAAATTAAAATTGAGGTATTTCTTTATCTGTGAAAAAGTTATTACCATCATATTTGTCTATGTCACAACTTTTCTAAACGCTGTTTTTATGTATTATTTGAAACAACGGAGATACTTGTGATTAACAAAATTGAACAATATGTACGATAGAGATAAAGATGTCTGTTATTTATTGACAGGTTATACATAACTGAAAGGGCCAAAAAAATGTTAATTTCTCAAAAATTTGCGAAAGTAATTACTTTATAACATTATTCTAAATCTCCAAAGTGTAACATCTTAAACTTTTATTTATAGTTTGATTAATATTGTTTCACAAAATGTTTATTTAGAATATTAAATATATTATCGATTTAATTAATTACGAAAAGAAATATTAATATAGAAAGTGAAATTTATTCAGATTAGTTTACATTATCGTTTATTCCACGAAAATAAATTAAACATTATAATATAGGTAAATATTTTGTAGGAATATAAAATGAAATACTATGGAGTAAAATTTAAATAAATGTTCGTAAAATTGATTGCAGAGATTTGTTGATAAATATAATCATCTGTTTTACATGTAGACTGCAAATCTTTATGTAATTTCATATTTTTATGACAGCAAATAAAATTTGTTAAAGAAATTGTACGATTAAATACTAAGTTGAGAGAAGTTGTAACATATTTTTATCATAGCAGGAAGTAAAAGAAAAGCAAAAATTTGTTTCCACTTTCTGGTACAACAATAAGTATTTTATTTTTGATATTTTACATATTTTTGTATACTGCAAACATTTTCTGCAGTTTTGCATCTATAAATTATAAGTATGTGGAGTCCAGTTGTATGTAATTGTACTTTCCTGTGACATCGATAATAAGCATTTCAATAAAGTTGGAAACTAAAAGCGTAGAAATTTTCGGACGTAGGCATATACAGATTGAGCGTAAGAACATGGTAAAGTGAGTATAAAGAAGCAGGTCGTTGAAACAAGTTTCACCTCTTGAACTCGAAGACAGAAACAGCGGGTGCGCGTGTAAAGAAACAGAGGATGAGAATCCTCTTCATGGTATCTTGTACGATACTACACACATCGAAGACAAGAGTCAGAGACATGTACATACATACGCTGGCGAAGACACGTGAAACGGAACCACGAGACTTACGTTTGTACAGCCTAAAGGAGTACATACAGCGTGCGTATACGTATAACATCATTTGTACACATATGAGCAAGAAGCGTGTGGTAGTTTCTGCTGCAGGGTCTCGAGTTGGCAAAACTTTGGTCGATGTAGTTACACTACCTCCTTCCACTTTTCATGGAAGGTAGCTAAAACGTTCAAGACCCGCAATATTTGTCTTTTTTACTTTAAATATTTTTCTTCATCTGCAGCAGCTTACGATTGTCATTGCGAAGACCGCTATTAACGTTTGCTTCCGATCCACGAATTAATGGAATTGACGAACTTACGAGTTAATGGAATTAACAAAAATTTACTACGAAGTTGAATCATTACTTCAAGTTAAATGTGTTTATCTGAAGAACAATATTATTACATACATACTCTTAAGATCTTTTATTTATAATTGTTTATATAATTATTTATATACAACAGAATATAGCTCAACTGCATTAAAGTTTTATATTAAATAAAAATAAAAATTCGTTAATTATTCCCAATATATTAATACATCGATGATGGAAAACGAAACAATTCGTTTAACATATTCCAATAGTTAATGATATGATATTCATTATATTTGTACATTAACAATTGTGCATATATATAACATACTTATTTTTTATTTGATATTCAAAGCGTTTTACAGTGCTTTAGGAACCTTCTTTCACAATTACATTCATTCATAGAATGACTTTTCCGATCTAAAGTTGAGTACCAACGTCCCAGTCAATGACACACGTTGCGACATTGGCTAATGATAGTGATTCTTCATGACAAATTACAAGGAATATGTTAATACTTAGTTCAATGCCATTTAAGTGCTTATAGTAAAGAGCATAACTGAAATTACAGTGAAAAATTGTCGATAATTTAAACTATCATAACTTTGTAAAAAAGAATCATGCAAGAATTTACTTGGTTTCATTTTAAAGCTTAAAATAATTCTTTAAAGATAATTTTACATTATGTAGCGAATGGGAAAGTAAAGTAAAGATATTTTTTTCTTAAAAATTGTAAATATAGAGAGACGTCCAGAAACGTCTGTAAAAATAAAAATATTTTTTCATAATTAGATCCATCATTATTTTGAAGAATGAAGTCTCCCCTCTACAATAACATCTTCAAACTTACTGTCCAATTTTCTTCACCATTTTATTAAACTTTGAGCATTAAGATTAAATGACGAGATGTTAAGATTTTTTAAATTTTTGTCGTTGAATGTTAATATTCAAAGTTCAACGCTCGCTCAAAAATTATGTAGTAAGTTCTAAAAACTTGTTATAAAGAGAAGATTTAAGGAAAAAGTAGCTTTACTTTTCACGCGCTATATAATGTAAAATCATTTTTGAAAATTATGTTAGTAGAGGTCTTAAGCTTTAAAATGGATTATTGGATAATTTTCTTTTACAAAGTTGTTTCTTTACAAACAGTTTAAATTATGACTATTTTTCATTGTTATTGTTTCAGTTATACTCATACAAGATACTTTCGATTCGTGGTTACAACCAAAAAAAAAAGAATAACATTTTTCCACTTTGTTTTCAAAAAAATCGCATATGAAAGTCATTTGTTAAACGTATTCAAATTTGAGCAGGAATAAATAATCAAGGGAATTATTTTATTACTTGCAAAAGTAAGTGAAAAATATAGAATAAAATTTTTTTATTTTCAAAATCTCATTTTCAAGAGGATAAAATTTGAACATATTTGTTTAAAAATTGACTCTGTACATAAATGCATAATTTTCTCAAAAATTATAAAACAATTATATTGCATTCCTCTATTAATTATGTGTGGCTGTCTGAAATTTCTCAAATTCAAGCACCAAATACTTAACAAATATTCAAATTTAATTTTCTCAAAAACGAAGCCATAAATAAAAATATTTTATTCTTTTTAAGACACTTATTTTTTTATAGAGAATCATTTTTTTCAATTGTACTATCACATCGAAAATATCTTATATGAAATACATAAATAACATGAAAAATCATATCATATTTCATTTAATGAGAAAAAAGTTTAAGAAGAGTCAAAAGTAGTTTCATTGCCATATCAATATTATCTCACCGATATAAGTGAGTATATTTTTAATTTAAAAAATGTCTGATGTCAATACGTTAAAGAATTACAGTATACAATAGAATACAAGAAAAACTGACAATACTTATTCACAAACAAATACCAGTTGTAGATTTAAAGAGTGTTACTGTTAAAATGGAATGAAAAGTACAATTCGCATGGCATTTTTAAACTCTATCGATGCTTTTTTTCTAAATATACAACCACCGCTCACGTGCAAGTTGAGTCGCTTTTCTATCTGACGATGACGCTTTTCTTACGAGCTTTACAAACTCGTTAGCGTTCGCTCACTTAAGAAACTCGTTAGCAACCTAAGTAGTGAATTAAGCATATATCTTCTCGTTTCTTCTTTCGCTTACGTTGTGCGTCGAGCTTCGGGCTATCTTGTTCTCTCTCTCTCTCTCTCTTCATCCTCTTCTCATTCCTCTCTTTCTTTCTCTCTCTGTTCTCCTCATCCACACTCTCATTCTCTCGTGTTTGCTTTCTCGTATTTCCGTTCACCCATTCCACTTTGACGGTAGTTTCTTCGTTCAATTGCATTAGTCTGTGGTTTCGACCTGGTTAAAAGTTTTACCTGGATTTGTTTAAATCTGAAAAGTTGCCTTCTTGTCCTGAGAAATAATGTTCTTTCCATTTCGCGGCTTTTCGTTGGCAATCTTTCATCTTTGACTATCTTTCCGGATTGTCACACGAAAGCTCTTCATTACGTTTTCGCTGCGTTATTCTTCGGTTAGGATTCGATTTGTTTTATCCTTACTACGTAGTATAAAAATGAAAGAGACGATTATAATAAATAATATTGCAATTAACTTTATTTAATCTATTCAACTTTATTTAATTAATCTAAATTATTAAAAAATAATTTATTTAATTAATTTAATCTTTAAGGTAATAAAGATTAAATATTTAAAATAGTAAATTTATGTATGGATAATGTTTTTAATTTCAAATATCTTTTTCAAACATGTATTTAATTATCTTCTTCATCTGATTGCTTTTTAAATTTCATGACTAACATCTGACATGACTATAATAATTATTGAATAATATCACATATTTAAATTTATTTTACTCGAAGATAATATGTAAAGCACTTTACATAGATGCTTTCGGAAAATAGATTATAGACTAAGCTTCGTATAATTGACTTCATTTTTCAAATCAAACTTGTTTTATCACGGACGTTGAAATATTTTGAAACTGTGTAGAGTTCGTTATATCCTGAGGGAATATCCTTTCGTTGAAATGCAACAAAAATATTCAATGGTATTTTGTTGACTGTGATAATTGTAACTGTAACTATAACGTCCTGTTAGGGAAAAGGAAGGATAAGAAATGTAACCAAACAAAGTGATAACTAATAATTTTACTCGTTGCTAATAATTTTATATTTTTGGCGTTTTGCAAATATGTATTATCGTGTCTCTGCCTTCGGTAAAGTCGAGCATGTAAGATAAGCAAAACGAGTCGTCGACCGAGGTTATAGAATAAAAAGCGATCTGCAAGAAGCATAGGAAACACGAGGCAAGAGAAAGAAGGCAGGTATTGGTTAAAGGGAGTAAGTGGGGAAAGGGTCAATTTTCAAGAAAATATGCAAACAGAAAACGTTTTCTCGGTGCGCAGGTGGTAACACTTTCGAGAGGCACGAGACCTACAACGGTTCGCTGCTGCAATTCCATCGTGTCGAGAGGCGACAAATGGGAGCGTATCTGTGCATCGCTAGCAACGACGTGCCGCCCGCCGTTAGCAAGCGAGTGACACTCGCCGTGAATTGTAAGCTTGTTTCTTTTCTAATCCTTGATTGTAGTTGGCAGAAAGGCTCCCATCAACGACAAAAGACGACGTTATGATTCCCAAGATCACAACGTGTTCTTTACTAACAATTCATTTGAGTAATTGCCACGATGACTTGAATAATCTTTAGAAATTTTTGTTACGCTTGATAGACTATTAATACATTCAAGATCTATAACTCAACATCTGCATCATTGATTAATATCAACGTTATCATTTATTTCATGGATTGCATCCAAAAATGTTATTCTACTAATAAAATCTAATATAGAATAAAGTTTTTAAAGCATTATATAACGATTGATTTTGACATCACATAAAAAATAATAATATAAGCTTTGATATAAACACGGTTATTAACATATGAAAATAGCGATGTATTATACATAGTAATCGGATACATTACCTAAAGGAACAATTTAGTGAAGAGAAAAAAATACACAATAATTGTGCTAATCTACGAATACGAAAGAACACAAATTATACTTGTAATATCTGTCAAAATAAAAAACCGGATTTATGTTTAAACAATTATTTTGTACAATAATATAAAAATTTTAAAAAAATTTTATAGTTTATGTTTATAATTGTAGAGTTACGATTGTCATATTGTTTGATATTTTTTAGATAATTTAAACAAACAAAAATCGCGTTAAAACATGCTTATTTTACTTCAACACAGTTTAGTTTAATTAATTCTATTGTAAAAATATCTCTGACTATTAGTTATTGGATAATCTTTCCAAAATTTATTAGTCTCAAGTATGTTAATGCTTTCTTACGACGAATCCAAACAAATTAAATAAGAGAAAGATTTATTTACAGACTTCTAATTTGATACAATGATCGATAATGTTTCAGTGATTCTACGATATCGTTGCTTAAGAAAAAGTACGATCAATTCACTTTTCTATGTTACGGAAGCGTAGCGAAAGAGATTCAAGATTGCTTATCAGCAAGTAGAATCGGAGCGAGCTAAACCAAAGGATAAAAGGAAATGTACCGAGTTGTCTGCGGATTTATCACCTCGTGCAATAACGTTTCTTTTGCTTGTAAACTTGGCAATTTAATTTTGTTATATCGTTAAATCATGCAACAGTAAAACATTTTAATATTCGTTTCTTATTGACTTTTTTTTTTTTAATGAAAAGTAAGCTTAACACGATTCTTTGAGAAAGTTTTCTCATAATTCTTAAGCAGATGTACTTTTCCGTAAATAATAAAAAGAACTGTAACGTTGATGCAATGATGCAAGACGAGTTTCACTATACTCGTCTTCAGGAAAATGATTGAAAGAGGTAATTAAAATAGGGAAAATGATAATAGTTATAACTATTTGTGGTAACGCTGAGATCTTTTCTGCCTGTATTTTAACCTAGAATAATGCGTATTATGAACTTTGCAGTTTTAATATGATATATCACATTTTTATTCACAAGTTATATTATTGAATTCTTTATTGATTTTAAATTTAAATACGATTGTATGATTATTCAAATGTATTATTATTTGTTACAAATGTATGTTTCTTCGAATATAAAATAATTTGCATTAATATTTCATAATTACGTTAATTGGTGTTGGTACCTAAATTATTTGAAGAGAAAATGTACCAAACGAGAATTAACTACTCTCAATTTTCATAACGTAACGCAGACTTTATAATTTCACATTGTTTCACAGTAAAGTTTAATAATGAAATATACGACGTGCTATATTTTAGCTTGTTTTACTTTTTCAATAATGCTGTCAAACATAATAATATACTTTTAAAGTGGATATTGCATCGGTAAAGCCCGCATGAAATTATCATACGCAAGCTGTAATTACACGGTTCTATTGTCACATGTATTTCTAAACTCGTAAATTTCCCTTGGTAGTCTTTTAATGAATACACAATAGGATTATATATGTAGTCTTTTAATAATGATAGGAAAATAACCGATAACAAATCACATCGTATAATTTATTTCTTTCTGATCGATAAACAACATTAATTCTTTGAAATATCATTATTCTGCTAGCAAGAACATTAAACTTGTCATTGAAGTATAATCAGTACACAAGATTTCAATTATCATTTGTATCTCGTTATTCGCGTATACTATTGTTGAAAATAAAATATTTTTAAGCTTAAAATCAAATAAATTTCAAAACTGGATTTCAAAAAATCTTTTTGCATAATGTTATGTAAACATTGACGCAACAATACAAGAAAAATAGTCGTTGAAATATTATTACCTCCAAATTACTCGAATATCCGAAAGTATTAAAAGTATTGAAAGCTTGAAATACTAAAAACATTGAATTTCAAACAAAATGTTATATTTATTTAAGATAAATGAAAAAATAAAATTGGTGTTTCCAATACAATTCGTGAATATGGAAGATTTAAATATTCTTGAATACTTTAGAATATTTGCATTTGCATTGCAAAAATATTATATAGAGAAACTGCGAGTATTTACGCTAATTGATAATTTTAAGAAGGCGACTAAAAATTGAAATCCGAATTGAAAAAATTGTTTATTAAATATTATAATGGATACTATACTTCGGATATTTTAAATATTTTTGTACATTATGTATATTCCATTTATTTGTTCCTTTCTAATTTTTCCATAAATGCATAAAAATTTTTAGTCTAACCATCGAATCCTATAATGCGAATGTTTCACATTATATAATCATTTAATGAAATATTAACGGGTTGTGAAACGTCGCATTAAATTGAATAAGGAAAAATGAAAAAGGACAAATTGTAGTTATGTATGTCGTTCGTACAAGGACGTTAATTAAAATCTTGGCAAGCCGTGTAACGCGATGAATATCGGCTAATTAATTTGAAACCGCTTTCACAGTTGCACCTGTCGTCAAAGCACCTAATCAGCTTCTAGGAGCACCTTTGAGTACGGACGTGCAGCTGGAGTGCTATGTTGAGGCATTTCCAAATACAATTAATTACTGGGTAAAGAACCGACGAGGCTCAGAGGACGAGATGTTGCTCGAAGGGTGAGATTATGTGTTCTTTTAATCTTGCACGTTGCTTCGTTTCCTAAAGGCCAGCAAAACTTATTGTCATTGAATTACACAGACTCAAGTATAGTGTACGAGAAGAACGATCCGGATACAAAGTTCTGATGTGGTTGTTGATCAAAGGATTTACCGAACAAGATGTGGGCAGTTACAAATGCGTGTCGACGAATAGTCTTGGCAAAGCCGACGGTACTTTAAGGTTATACGGTAAGTTTTTCACTGTATGGAAGAAAGCGACTCGGGTAATATTGGTAAAGACTTTTTTCACATCTTTCTGCTAGCTGTAATTGTTTAAATAGTTCCATATGTTATATTTCCCATTGTTATATTTCTCTGATGAAGCAAAATTTCGAATAATTCGTCGACACCTATAAATGCGAATTTTTATAATTTCTGTATACTCTGATCTTTGTGTAGCGTTTAGTTATATGTATTATATATACTATACATAATGCCTTATCTAACTGTTTATATACTTGAATTTTAATTTATGAAGTTTGTAATTATAAAACTTTATTTATTTATAATTAAAAAACTTTCATTGAAATCTCATTTCAATTAAAACATTGACTTACATTGCGTACTGAATACCCAATTGAGATTACTGAAAAAGATTTTATGAAATTTATGTCCAATGAGGTATTAAGGTATTTTAAGAAGTTAAAAAATGGATTACCAAGTATTCTTCCAAATGATTACCAAGCGATTTAAAATCTTGAAGTTATTGTTTAAGAAACCTGCTCTTTTATTTTCTTTCATAATTTATAAAGGTTATTTAAAAAATTGATCCTTTCCTTTTTTTTAATTTAAATATAAAGAAAAATTTAGAAATAATGAAATCTCAAATAAGAAAAAATGGAACTTCGTAAAATAATTTTATTTCAAGATACTTTGTAGATTCGTTCAATACTGTAATTTTGTAAAATCAGAAATTCAAGACAATTTTAAGGAAAATCTCATTTGTAAAAGAGACCTAAATATTCTAAAATATATAATCATCAGAATCATTTATCTTTATGGATAATTATAAAAATAAGTCAAGAAATTTTGAACTGGTGGAAAATTTGAAGTATATCTCCTTTTAGTATTACCTATGAGGAATTATATATATGTATGTACATATGTATGTATAATACTATTTATATATTGTACAATACGGCAATTATATGTATACAATGCTATTGTGTATAACATACTTCAACAATCACATTGTTCTATTAAACTGATTTATTAAATTAATTTAAAAATCTCTATTGCGAATTAAAATTATAGTTAAATATATAAAAACATAAAATATCAAATATTTCTTCAAACAACAGAATATTATACTTCATACGTAATTTCAAAAAGCGTTTATGCTTCGATTTTATTGAAATATTGAAAATAGATTTTAGATAAAATAAAATTATTTCTATAAGAACAATGTTTACAAAAAGAATTTTTTATCGACTCAGAAACTATGCATTTTGTCACCTTATTGTTACTTCTTTTAAAATTATGATCATTTTTGGCGAGAATTTTGAAAATAAATTTTTTTTAGGTGAAAATAATGTTTACGATAAGGACTTTTGGCGATTCAAAATTTTGAGAAATACGTTTCATTATTCTAACGTCATTTTTTACTTCACTTCAAGCAGTATTTGATATTATATATACAAATATTTTCAAAACTATATAAAATCTTTTATAAATCGTGCATGTGTTAGAATTTTAATAAACTTGTCAATTCGCTTCTCTTTCCTATTTCCAAAAAAATATTAAAGATATTTTGAGTTTTAATTTCTGAGTTATCAAAAATTCTTTTCATAAGTATCGCCTTTAAAAGCAACTTGTTTTCAAAATTTCAATCAAATTGATAAATAATTATTGTCAGAAATACAATTATTATATGAATTGATATCAAATTAAAATTTTATTTTTATTAATTTTCTATGAAATTATGATATACAGTTGATTATAATCGGCATTAGTATTATAGTGTTGACTTGGAAAACATTTATATACTTAGTTTGCCTTTTCTAGATGTTCATTTCTATTGCCCCATATAAAATACTTTAAATACCTACAGTATAGGTATTATTTCAGTAATCTGACAAAAATTAATCAATTTTTAATTGACTACATGTTGCAATACACAAAATTTTTTTCAAAAAACTTTTTTTCAATAAAAAGTCAAAGTCGCCTTAGTTTTTTAAAATTGACTCTATATATTTTTGGTTTTATAGTATTAGCAATGTAAAGTTAAATTCAATGACCTACTATATCACGAAGCTAAAATGATTTTGAATATAGAAATGTCGTATCAACAAAAACATTATCAAAAATAGATTTAACGTTGATTCCATACTTCATAAATTATGTTGATATTTTACAATAATATTTGCCATGATTTACTCAACATTTTTCCAATCGAGGATCTTCACATTTTGTTGGAAAAGAATTTTTGGGAAGAATTTTAGATGTACATTGCAACATTAATTTTCGTTCGAGATATTGTGTGACCATCGGAAGTGCTTGAAAAATTATTATGTAAATTACTGTCTATACAAAACATATAATATACGTATCCTCATATGTTTTAATAATAGAATAATAGAATAATATCATAATAATACACGTGTATCGTCTATTTTCAGAAATTAAAATCGGTTTCGACAGATCATCGCGTGGAAAAGATCATGTATCGATAATCGGCGGTAAGTTTATCTTTTCCTTTTGTGATAATAATTTTATAAAATGAAGAGGACGAAGCAACATTAATTATGTTTATTTAGGTCTAGCCGAAGCGGCGCAAAGTTCGGGCGCTAATAGCGGTGGCAGAGGATTATTCGGATGTTGGAAAAAGTTATCACATTTCTTGTCGATGTGTTTATTTGTACCAGTGCTACTTTGGCCGCGGTGAAGAAGGCATCCGTTGTTGATCACCGCTAAGCTGAGTGCCGGATAACTTTGTGCCAAAGGACAAGATAAAAGAAAGAATGTTGTGCACATGTACGCGTGTATGTTTGAACGTATACCAAATCAATGAGAGTATTTGGTTCGAAAAAAAAAAGAGAAAATTCGAATTATTTGAATGTCCGTGAGTGAATGATAAGAAATAGCGAACCAAAGAAGAAAATAAATCGAAGGCTCGCATTCTACACATCTTCCTATTTCCCTTTCCTACTTTCAAATGTCGAAAAACATTTTTAGATCAATGGATGTTGTCAATGTATGCGCCCGTTTAGATTTGCAATTCATTTTGCTAAATGAATCGATGGAAAGACGCACTGCCAAAAATACAAGACTCGGAAACGCTGAAGCAGCTTGGCCCTTCCTAATAATGCTTAACGAGACATTGATAATAATACTTCACAATCATCGTATCATTGGTATCAGCGTCGCGGATATTTAGACGTCACGAAATTCGATGTTTCGAAATAAAAGTATGCGATCGAATGTTGTATATATATTGTCTACAACTGCACATATCCATCGTCCATTTCCTTTCCTTTTTTTTCAAGATAATTTTTATATTATAACTATATTCTAATATTCTAATATTTCTAACCTGCATAGGACGATAAAAGTGAAACAATTTATATACATATATTGTATTTTTTAATATTTTTAACTCTTTTAATCCTAAAACTTTTAGTTTCAATATATTATTGCTGAAAAATTGTTGTATGCACGTAATAACTGATTTAAACATTTTAATATTCATTATCAATATCTTAGAAATACGATAAAGCGTGTATATTTTTTTATATTAAATCTCAATTTTTGCAAGTACGTAAACAGTACTTATCGACGCCGCAGTACTTGCTTTTAATAGGTCATCTGCAGTCTGCATTAACAACTGAAACTTATCACTCGCTATATACCAATTATAAGATATTTTATACCAAAAGATACACTAAAGAAGTAAAATAAACATAAAAATTAGATTTCATGTTATTGATAATGTATGTTAAAATGTAAACAAATTAGTTGGGAGTCAGCATTTTGACTACAATATATCCACCAACTATTATCTTATAAACTTTTCAAGTAACTCATAAGCATCTTTAATTACATCAAAATGACAATAGTATATCGTAATTTAAACAAAATTTATTAAGATAAAAAATGTATTAAAGCATATCTAATAAACAATTATTACAAAATAATTAAATACAATTTGAATTTATATATTAATATAATAAAATTATAATTTATACAAATTAATTATCAATTAAAGTAAAATTCTTTTGAAATTACTTTTTATATAAACAGTTTGTTTAAAGAATTATAAAGAGAATATATGACACATTTAAAATATGTAAGATATGTGAAAAATACTTTAATGTATTTTTAAATAATGAAATTGATTTTTTAAAGATTTAGAAAATTTTAATTTATAATTAGAAACTGTAGTAATTATCATGTTACTAATTCGAAATGAACAAATGTAGTTTTTAAATTGAAAGATTTGAATTATTTTCATAATTAGATTGCAAATGTTTATGTATTTTTATATTTTTATGAATATAATTAAAGAATTGAGGTCCAAATAGAAATTCATTTAATCCATTAAATATAAAAGATACTATATTTTACATATCTTTACATCTTTGATTATTAAATACATTCTATGGATTCTTAATTTTCCAAAAGTACATAAACATCCGCAATTTGCTTACAATTAGTCCGAATAAGGCATTCATCAAACTACAATTTATTTAAATTGATCGCGCATATTTTTTATAATTATATAAATTTATTAATTTTAAGTTTGTAAATCCAGACACATTTTCTATTTGCAATTAGATGCAATTAATATTCTATACTTTATTAGATAAAGGCCGAATATTGTTCTTAAAAAAATATAGATCTAATGAGTATTAGGATTATTATCAAGCCGGTGAAATTTTAAAATAAAGTATTATACGAATGAAAACAAACTTTGAATATTTTATCATTTAAAATGATTGAAACAAAACATAGTTAGGATATTTACATCGTAATAATTTGACCAAAATAAATGTTACATAATTCTATCTCTGTGATCACTTTAGATGACCTTCAAAGAAGACAATACTTTCATTTAGTATGTTTTTAAATACCATGTATGAAGGGAAACTTGATTAGTGCAGAGCACAAAGGCAAGTAAGTATTTTCCTTATTCTACATATTTTATTTTTGACTATCTGTTAAATTTTTGGCAACTTTAGACTATGTTTAATACGTTGACTGTCATAGTACTTTAATTTTGTTAAGAGTATTTTAGAGTAATTGAAATAATTAAAATAACGAAATCAAGTAACAAATGTGTATACTATCTTTAGACATTACGATCTATGCTCTTGTAAATATCCTTCCTATCGACGCTAATTGTATTTCAGAATATAAAATACATCGACGCTAATTGTATTTCAGAATATAAAATAAACAGATTGACACGTTAGAGACTGAGATTAACAACAGTAAATGCTCTTGACACAATAGTCGTTATGGAGCATAGTAGACGTTAGGACTTCTTATCAATCGCTGGATGAATTGGATAAAGTGCTACTTGTGACATGTCTAAGACAATAAATTTTTTCATATTAACAAGAAATCCCAGTCCTTTGTCTATCAGTAAAATTGTATTTATAGTTATTATACATTATTATACATATATAATTATTATATTTAGCTACATTGCGACTGTTTCGCAATGCAATAAAAATGACATTTCAGTCTTTGAATGGCATTAGTACCATATACACATTATATTTAAATATATTAATACAAATCCTCATATTAAGCTTCAACGAAGTCTAGTACTCTCGGCGGGAGATCAAACGCTTCTATAAATAACAATATATCTATAAATATAATATACAATAAAACATAAATATAAAGCATATAAAATAATTATAAAATAATGTAGAATAATTATAGAATGATAAAATAGACTAATAATGCAATAAACAAAAGAGAAGAGAAAAAATAAAGAAAATTCAAAAACATAATAGAATCTAGAGAGATAAATTTACAAAGTAACAGGCGACGATTTAAATCATTCATATTATCACTTGCTATATTTTCTGATGGTCCCGTTTACACCGGTGATTTTATCTGATCAGATGACGAGACATGACGTAAATGTCTTTTGACGAGCTACCGACTCGGATGTCATAAAACGTCTTATCATCGTGAGGCGCTCGATGATGAAAACTTATTGACATAAGCGACATATCGTGCCAATGCAACTAGTCAGCGAAAGACTTTTATATCTTCTCCAGTCTCGCCGACTCAAGCAGCGAAGGTATTCTTGAAGAGCACGGCTACATCGATTATGATGAATCTTCGATGGTTTTTGCGTCACGATAATGTCAGGATATAAAACCGCGAATTGGTCGTCAGCTCCTCAGACATACTGATCACTAGGGAGCCTCGAGGCCTGGATTTTTCAAGGCTGTTGTAGCGCATCTGCCGAGCGGCCGAATAAGGATCGCAATGGTTAAACAGGTGGGGGAGTCTCCATGCCGTATCTTCAGTCACTGTCACGACGGGTCCCGTTTAAAAGAAGCATGTCAAAGCGTGTTTGATGAACGAATTGCCAGTCTGCGAAGCGAATAAATTGTCCTCCAGGCATGAAATGATTGTTTATCGGGAAGTGGTACCATATCATGGAGATCGCGTCGAAAATCCTATTTCAGTTTTAGTAGAAGAGGTGGGACGATAAATAACTGTTTTTTTTTTTTTTTTTTTGCTGTATATTGTTATGATTGTTACAGACTTGATTTGTTGTAAAATACAGTGGGTATAAAATGTATTCGTACAGTGACTAATCACAACTAAAATGCTGAATAATATTTATTACACAATATTTTTTAAATAAACATGGTACATCTATTCTCCAAAGTCTGTAGAACAACAATATCAAATAAACAAAAAAAATTCATATTGTTTATACAAATATCAAGAAAAATGAACAGAATGACAGAAATGAACGCGCAATAAGTATTCGTACAGTTCTATTGTCACTATCAACTGTACAAGTAATTTAAATATTAATAATAGAAACAACAAATAATTGTAAAATTAATATTTACAATTAGTATTTAGTAGGGTTTCCCTTTGACTTTATTATTGACAGCTACCAACCTTCTAGATATTGAATTAACTAAATTAGATGTGATTTTATTGGTGATATTATTCCATTTGTTGATTAAAGCATTTTTTAAGTCCGTTTTAGATGAAATTGTATGTTTTCGAATTGCTCGTTCTAGATAAACTCACAAATGTTCAACACGATTAATATTTGATGATTGCGGGGATGTTTTTAAACGTGCTGGCTTATTATAATCAATCCACATTCTTGTATTTTAAGCGGTATGCTTAGGATCATTATCTTGCATGAACACAAAATTATTTTCAATATCCATTTTTTCAGCACTTGAATGCAGATAAGTTTTTAAAATATTAATATACATCTTGTGATCCATTGTCTCGTCAATCAAATGCAATTCACCCACACCTGCGGCACTCATGCAGCCCTAAACACATATTGAACCACCACCATATTTTATTGTCGGCTGTAAGTTCTGAGGTTTATACTCTTCATTTTTTTTTTCTCCACACTGTAAAGTGTCCACCGGAGCCAAAAATGATAAATTTGCTGTCATCCGTGAAGATGACCCTATTCCAAAACTCCATTGGTGTTTTTACGTAACTTTGTACGAACTCCAATCTCTTCTTTCTATTCCTTTCATTCACATAATATTTGTGGATACATATAATACGCCAGCACATTTAAAAAACACCCCCACAATCATCAGATATTAACCCTATTGAACATTTGTGGGATTATCTGGAACGAGCAATTCGAAGATATACAATTTCATCTAAAACAGACTTAAAAAATGCTTTAATCAACGAATGGTATAATATCACCAATAAAATCACATTTAATTTAGTTAATTCAATACCTAGAAGGTTAACTG